TCTTCCGATGGCTTCAAACAGAACAAGCAAGCGTTTGATTTAAAGGGTTTGACATCGTCGGTAAGAATTTATTCATGTGAAGATCGTTCTAATGATCTAACCTCATCTTCCGTAGCCCATGAGATTTCGTCAAACAAGCCATCATACAGTGGGGGCAGGAGTTGTGGAGGAAGGTTCACCACTCTTTGAGAGACTAACAAACCGACATTTTGTGACCTGTCCTCCAAGGACAGTTTCAGTTCGGACATTATATTCTTCTCCGAACAGACTTTAAGAAGATAGTCCTTTAGTTCGGTCATGCACTTATTATCCTGTCAAAACAGATGTTATTAAGTCAAAGCTTAACAAGATCAATAAACACAAATTACCCGAGAATACACACGGACTGACATTCAAAACTCTTAACTCAACAAGCAGAACAACCAAACTACATAGCTCCACAAAGGTTATTATATGGAAAGCACATCACTAAGACAATCACCTTAAGCACGAGCAAACATGTTGATAAATCAAAGCTGGTTTCTTCGATTGTATTAATGGCAAAAAAAGAATGTTATAAACCACAAGTCACTTGCCTTATATCTAGCCAAGTTAAGAGCAGTGACAACAGCAAACAGCCCCTCATCCTCGTCATCTGCTACTTTGACCACTGTTCCAACCGTAGTCTGTTCTAATATTACATCAACAAAACCACTCAAATCCCACTCCTTATCATCGAGATAGTTTTGCAGGAGGATCTTAACTCCGTGAAAGTCTTCAGGTTTTGGGTCAAAAAACTCGAAATCCGCTTGAACAACCCCCTTCAAGGATCACACACAAAAGACAGATCCAAGAACACAAAGTGAGAATGAGACAAAAGACTAACGAGTAGCAAAATCAATTCTACCGAAGTAAACACTATTGTCTCATTAACAGCAGTAGCTAACCTCAAAATCTTCCTCATCTGATGATTCTGACAATCGTTCATTCTTCACATTTTTAGATGAATTTGGAAGCTCTTTATCTACAGAACAATGAAGAGACGGTGAATAACTGTATTGATGTCCATGAAACCATTTCAATGACAGAAAATTTGCGAGGAAGGTCGCTTACCAGGGAGCTTGGATTCGGAACTTTTACTAGCTTTAGGATGGGGCAATTTACGCCTAGCTGTTGAAGCTAATGCTAATGAACGCATAAATGGTGAAAATGGCAAAGGTGAATGCTTTAACAACCTCCTACGCCCTGTCGGCTTCCGGGTCATCTCCTCAATCTGCAGTTAATCTAAAGTTCAGAAAATTTGACCAAAACCTATTCAAAAGTACCTAAGCTTCCGTAACAAATCTCCAGTTCCATGAACTCAGTTCAAAGACAACTTGACAAAAAAAAAAACCATCACATTCTACTAGCACAATTGCTATAGGCAAACCATTGCAGCACGAAACCACAGATGGACCAGACAAAGAGACGAATCACCGGGACGAAATTGTTTACCTTTAGGGTTACAAATGGTGGAGCATGCTTGAGGAATTGTTACACAGATGAGCTTCAACACAACACAGAACTTGGGAATAGGTCGGATTCCGAACGGGTTCGAGCAACAACTGTAACGATGGAAAAAGTCACCGGTAACAGAACGAGTCAGGTAGATTCCGGTGACCGCCCAGCATCGGGAGAGAAAACGAAAGCGGGAGAAAACCGAGTTTCTTGGGGCTTGAATTGCCGGAGTATTTCCGGAATATTTCCCGGCGATGGAGTGGGTAAGTGTCCCGGTCGGAAGATCGGTGAGTTATGGAAACACACCGAGAGAGAGAGAGAGAGAGAGAGAGAGAGAGAGAGAGAGAGGACGGCGACCTATGAACGAGAAAGAAAACGGCTAGTGTTGTAATGAAGGGTTTCACTGTGATTTGACCCAATCGGTTAACAAAACATACACCATACCGTCCCGGTTATCGAATCTCCTAAACCGAGCGGTTCGATTTCATCCTCCCAAACCCGTTCGGCTATAAAACTCCAAAGACCCGAGCTCCGGTCCCTCCACATAGTCTCCAATGGAGCAGCCACCGCAAACTTCGATCTCGGCGTCTCAGACGACGGAGTCTCCGCCGCAGTCGGCGGAGACGATTTCTCAGCCGCCGCATCAGCAGCAGCAACCACCGTCCACTGTTGCGAGCTCATCCACCGCTCCTTCAATCCCTTCCTCCGCAGCTCCTCCGCCGTCTCCTTCGTTTCCGCCAAACCCTAATCCGACGCAATTCGCGAGACCGGTGACCTCTCCGTCTCGGCAACAGCAGCAACAGCTTCCTCAATCTCTGGCGCGGCCTCCTCAAACGGCGTATTCGAGACCATGGCAGCAGCACTCCACTTTCTCTCACTTTCCCACAACATCGTCGCCCTTGTTGTCGTCCTCGTCGTCCGCAGCCTCGTTGTCTTCGTCATTGGCGGGTTCTGCGCCGCAAAGAGGAGGGATGACGATTGGTGTGCCGGCGTCGTCCCTATCGAGTCCATCTCCTCGGTCTCCGTCTAAGCCTTCCGCTTTTCCCGGCTCTTTCGGGCAGCAGTTTGGTGGACTGGGTCGTGGAACAGTCGGCGTGTCTGAAGCAACCTCTAATTCAAATGTTCCTCAGGTGAAATTTGCTCCGTGTGCCACGTTTGAGATGGTTGTGTTTGCCATTGTCGAGTAGAATTGAGAAGACAAAAGAAAAAGGAAAACTTGAAGAATGAGTCGCAGCCTTTTATCTCGACTATTCACTTTTTGCTTGTTCTTATGGATTGGAATGTTTTGGTTTTGTCTATTAGGTGAGGTCAATGCAAGGATCGCAGGGAATTGGAATGATGGGAACGCTAGGTTCGGGTTCCCAAATGCGGCCAGGTGGAATGTCTGGTCCCCAACATCAACAGAGACCAGCTCAGTCGTCTCTAAGACCGGCTTCCTCCCCGAGTAGCCCATCTCCAGTTGCCCAAGTAAGCATCTTTGGGGTTTGTTTGCATATTGGTCTTTGTATGCTAAAAGAACGCGGAAATTTGGTGGCATTGTCTCTTTGGTTGTTATCATGACATGGGCATATTCTTGTTAGGATTGGGTTAAAACGTGAGAAATATTAACTGGACATCCGTGAGGATCAACCAGGAAGTCTTGGGTTTTCAATTCCGTTATGAACTGTGAAACTTGTATCACCGTTTCTGAGTGTTTGCTCGTTGCATTAGCTTAATGCTTTCTAAATTCTGAGATGTAAAGTTTCTCACTCGTCCACAGGCTAGATAAATAGTGCATTTCTTTTCATTTTCCCTTTTCTACAAATTAACCAGGCTTTGATAGCTAAAATAAGTTTTAACCGACCATTCATAAGAATGCATCAGAACGTAATAAATATAGCACTATTGTGCCGTTGGACATTTTTTACACGATTGCAAACTGTTACCATGATTCATGGTCTTGTCTATACCTAGTAATGGATGTGCTGTTTGTAGATTGTATTGAAATTTAATCTCAGATATCTCAACTCTATATGTTCGCCTCCTGCAGAATTTTCAAGGACATGGCCTTATGAGAGCTTCTCCTGTTGGTACTCCCGGTGTCCAATCTACTAGCACGTCCCAAAGCATGCAATCTCTTAACCAGCCTTGGTTATCATCTTCAACACAAGGGAAACCGCCTTTGCCACCCCCTTCATATAGGCCACAAGTTAACACTCCATCCATGCAGCAAAGATCACATATTCCTCAGCAGCAACAACAACAGCAGCAACAACATCCTTCAACACCAACAACTTCACAGCCTCAAGAACAGCTTCAGACTTTAAGATCCACTCAGCAGCCTTTATCTCGTCCGCATCAACTGACCAGGCCCCAGGAATCAGTGAGTCAGAAACCCACCTCTCTAGCAATAGTGGTCCATCCTGCTGTGACTCAACCTGGAACCCAAGGTAAAAAACTTTTGGCGGAGAATGAAGAGTCTGGGGACCGTATACTGGGAAAAAGAAGCATCCGTGAGCTAATTCAGCAGGTATTCATTCATGCTCCTGTCTCTCTTAATAGTCTCAGCTTTGAATAACTTGTGTCAAATCTTGGCCCTGGATTAGATTAGCTTTTGTATCTGTTCATTGAAGCTAGGTGGGAAGAGTAGTAGACCTTTTCTTTGAGTAGCTAAAAAAGAGCCCCAAAGGAAGTCAGTAAACGAAATAGGAGTAAAGGTTAATTATCATCGTAAAATTGGATCCTCTCTTCGAAGTATCGCTCAGTGATTGATTTTCTGATAAGGGTGGAGCATATGTTGAAAAATAAATGTGAATGAGCGGGCGTGGGTGGTGCGCCTTGTTGATAAAGAAGCTTATGGTTTGCCTTACTATGTTGGTCACCACGAATAGATTCAGCAATATATCATATCATAACTAGCCTAAGGAAGTTTTTGTTTTGGCATGCATGAATTGTTTTCCTATTTTGACACTATCTAGAGAATGCAATTTTTCATGGAGTGAGAGACAGTATACATTTGCTGTTTGATGCTTGCGTTCGCGAGCTCTGTGCAAGTCATATTTGATTCCATTTTTCCGCATCTGGGACATGTTTTGTTATCCACAGATCGATCCCTCAGAGAAGTTGGATCCAGAGGTAGAAGACATCCTTGCTGATATCGCTGAAGACTTTGTAGAGTCGGTGAGTAGCTCACAATGCCCATTTTGGTTTTGTCCAACAACTCCTCTGAATATTTTTGGTAGAATTCACTATAGCTATTATATGTTTTCCTATAGCAATTGTTTTCTAAATCAGACTCCTTGTGTTTTCTCGTTTTTTCCTCTCATCAGATCACGACATTTGGTTGTTCATTAGCCAAGCATCGGAAATCAGATACTTTAGAGGCTAAGGACATACTGCTACATGTTGGTTCGTGTTTTGTTAGACATTGTGTGCCCTTTAACTTCTCTTTTCCTTTTGCCAATTCAATAATTAGTTTCTTCTTTAAATTTTTCACTCCCTATTGTAGAAAGAAACTGGAATATCAGGCCCCCTGGTTTTTGCGGTGACGAGATCAAGACATTTCGAAAACCAGTAAGGATCATTCGATCGCGTGAGATTCTCTCTGGCAGAAGACAGACCCTAACTTGTTTTCTTCTTTTAATTTTGATAATGTTTTTGCAGCTAACAACCGATATTCACAAAGAGCGTCTTGCAGCTGTAAGTTCTTGAAATACTCTCTTTTCAGATACAGACAACCCATAGGCTTGGCCTTTAGAATATGAAACCGAGAGAGGGAGATTGTTGTATTTTGTAGAGCCGCTTCTTGTTTTTGGAACTCTCGGGCTATGCCCATCATCGTGTTCTTGACCTCGTTCTTGCCCTCTCGGGTGTGAAAGGTAAAGAAGTCGATGATCGCAACGGAAGTAGCAAATGCTAGGAACCCGATCATCGGTCAGGGGGCAGTGAATGCAAAAGGCGGTCAAGCAAAGGCACCTGCAAACCCGTTGGCTTCTCCAGCTTTCAACCACTGATGATATCATCCATTTCGACCCGGAGAAAGTGCTTCTTGGTGAGCTTCTTGTAAAGCTGATGAATCGGTGAAGAAGATTGAAGAAACAATTTTTGCAGCTGAGATTCGGTGTAGTATTCGATGTTTTGAGTAAACATACAACATATGTTCTTCTACAATATGGCCATGACAAAATCTTGTACTGTAAATCTCTCATGTCTAAATTTTCGGTATTAATTGTTTTTTGTTTGTTTGTTAACAATGTATCTTTAAATCATGTTCGAACAAGACATGGATCTGAATTAGGGTTTAGAAGATGATCCCGAAAAGGGTTTCGGAAAAGGAAGAATCTTGAGGAGATTTTTCCGATATGCAAAAAAACTTATCATCATATTCATGACTCTGAATGATATTAGAGTATGCAACAAAAAAATATATAGCAAAATATTAATTAATTTATTAGTGAAACACGTACAAAATTTGAATTATTTTTGTATGAATTATTACTGCTGTGCATGTTTTGGTAAGACATTAATTTAATTGACTGTAGTTTTGTCGATCATTTACTTCATTTTGCTACTTCTTTTCAATTTTTCCCCATTCTAAACTTAGAAAAAAAAAAGTGTGACAACGAGTCAATTCGTCACGAGTCGAACTTATCGTGAATCAGTTCGGCAAGTCTACGGACAGGCTCCCGAATTAGAAAAAAAAATATTTTTTTAATAATTTTAAAAAATATTTACCAATTTTAAATATTTTAAATATATTAATTATTATTTTTAATTATTATTTTGGTACGAATAAAAACGAGCTTAACCACACTAAATTGTTCGAACAATAGTTGTTTTTTTTTATGTATATATTTATAAATTATGTATTTCTCTCTCTCTCTTTTTCTTTTGGTTGTCTTTTTTGGTAAAGTTGAAGACTTTGAGGACTAGCAGTAGCGAGATAAATACAAATTAGGTGTTAATTTCCTTTATTTTTAATGAAAACCATTAAACATGTTTTATTTTTTATTTTTTTTCTCGGGCAAAAATCAATGTACTTGGTGTACAATAGTATTATGTAATTCAATCATTAAACAAAATAGATAGTGGCAAGACGACCCGAGTAAGCCAAATAAAGATGGTCATTGCATCATTTTGGAATGTTTTTTGAGTTTATTGTATCATCTTCATTTTTTTAACCGTTTATTTTGGGACAAAGACACAAACTAATTTAAAACTAATCAAATGATTTAAAATATATGTTCTATTCCGAAATTTGATATTCGAATTCAAGACAAAATAAACGTTTTGCATTCCCATATAACCCAAATTTAGGTTTGTTGTATCGTTTCATATGAATTACCATTTTTGCTCTCTACCTCTTAAAGAAAAACAAGAATTGAATAGTGTTAAAAAATTTTGATTATGTATTATCTTTCAAAAGTTAAATTACCAGAATCTAAAATAACTCCAAATGTACAAATACCGATATCACTGAAGCAAGGTCCGATTAAATATCATATAGTAATGATATTTATAAAAATACAAATAAATGGATGTAGTGGAAGCTGCAATGGGGTCCCACCAAGAAATATAAAATATTAGAAAAAGTTCAAATACCATTTTGTTTTTATAAAAGAAATGGTGGTTTTGAAATCAGCTGTGTTATGGCCTATGCGTCACTCGTAGGGGTGGGCAAAATTATACGAATTTTGAGTATCCTTCTAGATTTGAGTATCATTTTATTCTATATAACGATATAGAGATCGAATTTTAAAATATATAAAATTCAAAATTTAGTATATCTATCAATTATCTAGTTGATTTTGTATTTATCTATGCAAAAGCTATCATGTAGTTATTTTAAATATAAATATTTTCAAGATTTTATAAATTATTCATATATAATTTGTGAATTTATAATTTTTTTTATTAAAATATAATTAAAATCCGTTGGATTCGGATATTTATATATACTTGAAAATTATCTTGTAAGTCATGTAATTTAAATACCCGAAAATTTGAGTTTATGTTCGAGTTCTATAATGTATAACGGGTTGAGTTTATATTCATGCCCTAAAAAACCCGAATGCCAACTCGTACCAACCCCTAATCCCTTGTTTTAATTATATATAATCAAATTTTAAACACGATAAAAACTTCAAATTGTACAAATACAAGAAAAATATAATAAATTAAATTATCCATTTGAATAACCTAAAATTAATTTTTTATATTTATAATAAAATGGAAGAACGTGTTCGGATTTAAGTTTACTCCCGACAAAATGGTAATATATATATATATATATATATATATATATATATATATGTTGCATTCATAAAAATTATAACATAAAGTTAGAGTTTAATTTCGAAAATTCTATAAGTTTAATCATTTTGATGCGTAACTTAACTAGTGTCTCTCTCCATTTCTACTTTTCGATTTTATGTTTATATATCTTCGATAATGTTTTTTTTTTTTTTTTGGCAAATGGTTTTCTATTATAAAAATATACACTATAGTTTTCGATCATTTTACTGAATAAAATCAATTTATATCGGTCGATGCCTTGCATCAATGATCAAGTTAGGGTTTGGTCAAGAAAGATTTCAAATGCGGTGCCAAATCTCAACACAAAGTCAGATTCGAATATATGTGGGTATCTAATTTTCGGTTCGAATATTCAAATTTCGAAATATCTAAATCTAATGATATTGAGGTCGGGGTATCATATTTGGATATATGGATATACGAGGGACACAAAATCGAAATCAAAATATTTTAATTCTATTAAATAGAACACCGTATTCATGATGGGAACTAATTAAAATTATTGGTGAGATATTAATCATCGGTAAGATTGAAATTCCAACTATTTGTAAAACATATCAGATTGGTTAGAAGTTGGAACCCTCACTTTCTAGATGATGATGTGTGTGTGTGTGTGAGTATTTCAAGAGAAAATTTATTTAGTTGATTTAAAACGTGTAAAAGGGTCATGAAAATATTAAAAAGTAATTTACTTATTGTTGTTAAAAATAAAATAAAAATGATTTATCCATTTCTTGGAATATTACGGTTTATTTTAATTTTTCAAATACGAATTACAAGGTTCTTGATATGAAAAATAGAAATTAATTTTTACAAAAAAAAAATAGAAATTAAAGAATTTAATTTTACGACAAAAAAAAATGGTTAGTGGATTTTGAAAACCCGGTCGAGCTTCTTCTCCATAAATAAGACGACGAAGCCTTTTCTCTCATAGCTGCAGCCGCCACTTGCCAGCCCCTTCCCTCAGGCAAACAATCTCTCTCCGACAAAGCGGCAATGGAGTCCCTCCGCCTCACGGCCTCCACAGCTCCGCCGCTTCCCCTCCGCCGGCAAATGCTTCATCATCGGCCGCAGCACACGGCTCTTCCAACTGGGTCGGGTCTCCTCCGTCGAAAGCCGGTCGCTGGACCCACCCGCTCCTCCCGATCTCCGGCCAATATCTCTCCGGTGGCCGTTTTATCCGGCGAGGAGACGTCTGTGGCTCCGCCGGCTTCTCTGCCGCCTCGTCCGAGGGTCTCGCCGAGTTCCCTGCAATACCCCGCCGGTTATCTCGGGGCGGTGCCGGAGCGCAATAGCGATGCCGGAAACGGAAGTATCGTTGACGCGATGGAGTATTTGACGAATATACTGTCGACGAAGGTCTACGACCTCGCGATTGAGTCACCAATGCAACTGGCGAAGAAACTGTCGGAGAGGTTAGGGGTCCGGCTCTTCCTCAAGAGAGAAGATTTGCAGCCGGTAGAGTTCCCTCCTTCGAATTTACGTTTGTATCTTTCAGGGAATGTTTTCGATTCTGATTCACTCCTTTTCAGCTTGATTGCGATGTTTATACATTTGTTGATTGAATATCTGGGCATCTGAGGGTCAAACTCAAAGTGATGGAAATGTGATTTCTTTTGGACCCTACCGTTTTCAAAATATGGGTTTTGGTTGATTAAGCTGAACCCAGAATCTGAGACCTTAGGTTGACCCAACCTCGATTGATGACATGCTGCTGCAACTTTGGATGATTGAGCAAAAGCCAAATCATTGTCGCTGTTGCTAAAAGTTTCATCTGGCCAGCCGAAGTTGGTGACTTGGGAGGAATTCATTACTGTTATCTGTAATGGATCGTGGTTCATTTGGGCTGCCAAATTTTCTATGCAAGAAGTTTTTTTTTTCTTGTGTTGGAACTAATCCATCGAGCCAAGTGTAGTGAACGCTCTAGATGGGAAAATCCTCGATGTTGTTGTTTTATGTCTGATACTGAATGGGTAACTAGTGGCTATGGTTACTTGATTTTTCAGGTTTTCTCCTTCAAGCTTCGTGGAGCTTTCAATATGATGGTGAAACTTCCAGAGGAGCAATTGAAAAAAGGGGTCATCTGCTCTTCAGCCGGAAACCACGCCCAAGGAGTTGCTTTGTCCGCCAGTAAACTCGGGTGCAATGCCGTGATTGTTATGCCTGTCACAACCCCGGAAATCAAGGTACATCAATAGTTCAGACCTACTGCATTAGGCTCATACTTTTGTGGACATTCATTTATCTTGTAGTTGGGTTATTAGACTATACCTTCTTTCATTTTTAATGCAAGTTTTTTTTTTCTTTTTTTTGTGGTGAGAAACAGTGGCAATCTGTAAAAAAATTGGGTGCTACAGTTGTTCTTGTTGGTGATTCATATGATGAGGCGCAAGCATATGCTAAGAAACGAGCTGAAGAGGAGGGTCTAACGTTTGTACCTCCCTTTGATCACCCAGATGTTATCTCTGGACAAGGAACTGTCGGGATGGAAATCATGCGCCAAGCTAAGGGTCCTTTGCATGCAATATTTGTGCCTGTTGGAGGTGGTGGCCTGATTGCGGGTATTGCTGCTTACGTGAAGAGGGTGGCTCCTGAGGTATGTGGTGTTCTCTAGTTGCAGACTGTAGTGAATCTAGTGATTGCTCCCATACCCATAATGAATATTCACTCATGTTATTCTTGATTGCATATTCTGATTCCAACGCAGAACATTTTCTCTGTTTTCTATTAGTATCTGCTACCGTTTTAATCAAATTGCTTCTCTTTATATCGTATGTGTTGAACTACCTGTTCAAAGCTTGCTTTCCTTTCTGCCAAGTTCTGTACTATCTTGCGTTCTAATAGCGGGTTCTTACTTTACAGGTCAAGATCATTGGTGTAGAACCAGCTGATGCAAATGCATTGGCTTTGTCGCTGCATCATGGAGAGAGGGTGATACTGAACAATGTCGGGGGTTTTGCAGATGGTGTAGCAGTTAAGGAGGTTGGTGAAGAGACTTTCCGGTTGTGCAGAAAGCTGGTTGACGGTGTTGTTCTTGTCAGTCGTGATGCTATCTGTGCTTCGATAAAGGTAAGTTATATCTATATTGTGATTTTCACTGATGTATTTGGACATGGGAAAAGAATTCATAAATCGATGTAAATAATCCTTATGCTTTTTTTTTTTTCTACAGGACATGTTTGAGGAGAAACGGAGCATTTTAGAACCAGCAGGCGCTCTTGCACTTGCTGGAGCTGAAGCTTATTGTAAATATTATGGCCTCAAGGACGTCAATGTCGTGGCCATAACCAGTGGAGCAAACATGAACTTTGACAAGTTAAGGATAGTAACAGAACTGGCAAATGTCGGTAGGCAACAAGAGGCGGTTCTTGCTACTGTCATGCCTGAAAAACCCGGAAGCTTCAAACAATTTTGCAAACTGGTATTCTGTTGTAGAGATTGTAACTGATCCTGTTAGAAAGTGCTTTAGGGTTCATCTTATTTTAAGAAAGAAATTGATGGATGCAGGTAGGACCAATGAATATTACAGAGTTCAAGTATAGATGTAGCTCAGAAAAGGAGTCTGTTGTTCTATACAGGTGGCCTTCCCTTTGAAAAGTTTTTGTTTGCTTTTTTTTTTGCTTTTCTTTTGAACTATCGTTTCATCGGTTTCTTTGCTCTCAGTGTCGGTGTTCACACAGCTGCAGAGCTCAAAGCAATGCAGAGTAGAATGGAGTCTTCTCAACTCAGAACTCACAATCTCACATCAAGTGACTTGGTGAAAGATCATCTGCGTTACTTGGTATGATCCTTAGCCGAATCTCTCTGCCATTTTCTCATTGATATCTTCATCACTTGGATCCAAACTCAGTGGAAAGTGAATCACATGGAGCAAAAGTGGATAGAATCTATCTAATTATGAAGTTTGTTATGTTCCAATCACTTGATACCAACTTGAGAATTGCCTTCTTGCTCCTTGGTGGGTTTGTGCTAAAGCTAATCTGATCATTGATCATATCAGATGGGCGGAAGATCAACTGTTCAAGACGAGCTTCTTTGCCGCTTCACCTTCCCCGAGAGACCTGGTGCTCTGATGATGTTCTTGGATTCCTTCAGCCCGCGTTGGAACATCAGTCTCTTCCATTACCGTGCACAGGTTTACTTGCTAATTTTCGCTTTCTTAGCCACTATAGGAGGGCCCTTGATAAAAAATCCGGCCTTTTGATCTTGGAATCTTCCTTCCCTTCCGAATAGGGTGAGACGGGGGCGAATGTGTTGGTCGGGATTCAAGTTCCGGAACATGAAATGGAGGAATTTGGCAAGAGGGCAGACACTCTTGGATATGAGTACGAGTTAGTAAGCAACAATGAAGATTTCAAGCTTCTGATGCAATGATTTCAAGCTTCTTCTGATTTGAATCACAAAGACCCATTACTACCTTGGAGGAACAGAAGAAGTGTTCTTGAGCTCTGTCTCTGTCTCTGTTTGTCTTGTGTCTGAGTATATGTTGTGTTGCTTTACGAGTCTGTGTGGGTCTTGTGTGCTTAAATAACTATGTAACCTTATTCCATATATAAATAAATAAGTAGACTTTCTACTTCTCGTTTAGAGTAATAATGCCCTTTTGTCTTGTGTAACAATAATGCAAAGGTCTTGGTATATCCTTATAAATGTGTTGACAAATATTTTGTATTATCATACTAATCATATTAATAATAACAGTAATAATACGAATTTCATAGTCGAGTTTTTATCATTGAAAAGATTGCTCTACATGATTTTACCTTATTTCATGTCTAATTTTACTTCCATTCTTTTAAAAATGATTTTTTTTTTTTAACTTTTATCTCGGTTTTGTGAACGAAATTATTAGAAAGTTTCGGTTTTGTTTGAATCTTTTTGATCGAATAAATAATATAGGATATATTCGTAATTTTCTAATAATATAGGGACCTCCTTGAATGTTGTCTCTCCTGTCGAAATGGAACAAGACGAGCCCCAATGGCTTATCCGTAGCGATTTAGCGCCCTTTCCTTCATGTCCACCGTCATACGCCCTCACCTCCTTCGCCTCCCGCCGACGACAATTTCTCCGCCGCAACTGTCACCGTCTCCGTCTCTCTCTACTCTTTCTCTCTCTGGAAAACCCCAACGCTTCTTCCCCGTCTTCTCTCTTCCCACGTCTCTCTCTCTTTCGCCAGTTGCCCTCCGTCACTCTCATTCTTCTTCTTCTTCGTCTTTGTTTGAGAGGTCGAATCCGGAGGACGTAGAATCTCTGATTGATGGGCTTTTCTATCTGCTTCGCCTGTCCGTACAGTACCATGACCCCGAGCTCGCGAAAGCCGTGCACGGTTCGTTTCTCAAGCTCCAGGAAGAAAATACGCGACTGGGCAATGCCCTAATCTCCGCGTATCTCAAGCTGGGTTTCCTTCGAGATGCGTTTCTCGTCTTCACATCGTTATCTTCACCGAGTGTGGTGTCTTACACATCTCTCATCTCGGGTTTCGCAAGATTGAATCGGGAAATCGAGGCTTTTAAGCTCTTCTTCGGGATGAGACGTGAAGGTGTCCAACCCAACGAGTATACCTTCGTCGCGATTTTGACTACTTGCGTGAGAATTTCGCGGTTTTCACTCGGTTTGCAAATACATGGTCTGATAGTCAAGTCAGGGTATTTCCATTCTGTGTATGTTGGGAATGCGCTGATGGACATGTACAGTAAGCTTTCTGGGTTTTTAAGTGATGTGCTTCGCTTGTTCGATGAAATGCCTCACAGAGATATGGTTTCATGGAATACGGTGATTTCAAGTTTGGTGAGAGAGGGACTGTATGAGGAAGCTTTTGATTTATTCTACGCTATGGATCCAAAAGAAGCGATTTTGGTTGATTCATTTACGGTTTCGACGCTTCTTACTGCCTCCACTGATACTGGTGAGTCCAGGAGAGGCAAAGAACTTCATGGTCGTGCTGTGAGAATCGGGCTGAAGGAGGATTTGAGTGTGAACAATGCCCTTATAGGGTTTTACACGAAATGCGGGGATATAAAAAAGGTGGAGAATTTGTTTCAGATGATGCCGGTGAGAGACGTGGTTACTTGGACTGAGATGATCACAGCTTACATGGCATTTGGCATTGTGGATATGGCTCTCGAGATGTTCGAGAGCATGCCTGAGAGGAATGGTGTTTCCTACAACGCCCTCTTGGCCGGGTTCTGTAGAAATGGAGATGGTTTGAAGGCTCTGAAGTTATTCGTCGAAATGGTGCAAGGTGGTTTGGGAATGACAGATTTCGGTTTGACCAGCGCTGTGGATGCTTGTGGGTTAGTGACAGAAAAGAAAACAAGCGAGCAGGTTCATGGGTTTTGTATAAAATCTGGTTTTGCTTCAAACCCTTTTATCAACACAGCTTTGCTTGATATGTGCACAAGGTGCGGAAGAATGGCGGATGCTGAGAAGATGTTTAGCCAATGGCCCTCTGATCTCGATAGCTTGAAGGTAACCACGTCGATGCTTTGTGGGTATGCTCGGAATGGCTTACCTGAAAAGGCTTTATCATTTTTCCTTCACACTATGTGTAATGAAGAGCTGGTTCTGGATGAAGTTTCATTGACTTCAATTCTTGCTGTCTGTGGGACATTAGGTTTTCTGGAAATGGGTTGCCAAATCCATTGTTACGCGCTGAAAACCGGGCATACATCTGATATAGTGTTGGGAAATTCTTTGATTGGTATGTACTCAAAGTGCTACAACTCCGACGATGCCATCAGGGTCTTTAATGGTATTCCAAGACACAATGTTGTTTCATGGAACAGTTTAATCTCGGCCTATGTCCTTCAAAGAGATGGTGACAAGGGGCTGGATTCATGGTCAAGAATGAAAAGGGAAGGTGTTAAGCCCGACACTGTCACCCTCGTTCTCGTTATTTCTGCGTATCGGTATACGGAATCAAATTTGGTCAGTAGCTGCCGTGATCTATTCCTCTCCATGAAAACCACTTACAGCATTGAACCGACTTCTGAACACTACACTGCATTCGTCGGCGTTCTGGGTCATTGGGGTTTTCTTGAAGAAGCTGAAGAAACAATAAAATCGATGCCTTTCGAGCCCGAGGTTTCTGTCCTGAAAGCTCTGCTCGATAGCTGCAGAGTCCATTCGAACACAAGCATCGCAAAACGTGTGGCAAACCTTATGCTATCCATGGAACCACATGATCCATCAGGCTACATCCTGAAATCAAACATCTACTCAGCTTCTGGCCTCTGGCATCAAGCCGAGATGGTCAGAGAGAAAATGCGCGAGAAGGGCTTCCGGAAACATCCATCCAGAAGCTGGATAATCCATCAGAACAAGGTGCATTCCTTTTACGCTCGTGACAAATCCCATCCGCAGGAGAAAGACATATACAGAGGTTTGGAGATACTGATAATGGAATGTCTGAAAGCCGGGTACGAACCAGACACAGGGTTCGTTCTCCATGAGGTGGAAGAGCACCAGAAGAAGAGCTTCTTGTTCTACCACAGCGCAAAAATGGCGGCTACTTACGGGATCCTAACGAGCAGCCGAGGAAAACCTGTTCGGGTAGTGAAGAACGTGATGCTGTGTGGGGATTGTCACGAGTTCTTGAAATACGTCTCGGTTGTAACGAAGAGAGAGATAGTTGTGAGGGACTCTTCAGGGTTTCATCATTTAGTGAGTGGCAAGTGTTCGTGTAGAGATCTCTGGTGACCTAAAAGAGAAGTGATCTCTGAGAGGTTCTGTAAGAAATTTGTCATTGTAAGTAAAAATGTGCGTTTGCGTTTGAGTTTGAGTTTTGAGTTCGAGGGGTAAAAGGGGAATAAGATGAAGGAGATGGTGATAGAATTTGGTTTATGAAAATGTGATTGAATGAATTTATGATGAGGATTACATCTCATATATATACCTTGTATAAAAAACATAATGACATAAAACATGGAAGAAAACATGGAGTAAAACATGGAGGAGACATGGAGGAAGGGAATTAAGTATAATTAGTTGTATAATTTTAGAAAAGTAATTGTAATAGATAATAATAATATATCAATATACTAACATGCCCCGCAAGATCGGTGTCGGATAGAAGACCGATCTTGGACCGAAGAAGCTCAAATGTTGGCGTGGGAGAGACGCAGAGTTTCTGAGCTTGAACGAGACCCCGAATGTAATGGTAATCAATGGCAACATGTTTCATCCGAGAATGAAAAATAGGATTCGCCGATAGATATGTAGCACCAACATTATCGCAGTAAATAACCGGCATATGAGAGAATGTGACACCGAGCTCATAGAGGAGAGACATAAGCCATTGTACCTCGGACGTCGTCGACGAAACTGATTTGTACTCGGCCTCAGTGGAAGATTTTGCAGCAAAGCGTTGTTTCTTGAACGACCATGACACAGGAGTGCGTCCGAGATAGACAATATGAACTCCCGTCGAAGAGAAATCATCATGATCACCTCCCCAATCGGCATCCGAAAATGCATGTAGTGAGAGAGGAGAGGAACGTGAGATGAAAACTCCGAGGGATCGAGTACCATTCAGATATCGAAGAATACGTTTGAGGCTTGCAAATGATCCGAGCACGGGCGATGCATGTATTGAGATAGTTTGTTGACGGCAAATGCAATGTCGGGCCGAGTGAATAGAAGATATTGTAAGCTACCCAAAATCTGACGGTACTCGGTAGGATCGGTGAGAGGAGAGCCAGAGTTGAGTCGGAGGCTTAAGGTAGATGGGAGCGGGGTTAGTACAGCCTCGGCATCTGCCATAAAATGTCGTGCAAGAACGTCAGAAATGTACCGTCGTTGAGTGAGGAGAACACCGGTTGATGTGCGCGGTTGACTTCGACACCAAAAAAGTAGGATAATGAGCCGAGATCTTTGATAGAGAACCGACGAGCGAGTACATCAATGAAGCTCTGCACATCCTTCGAGTGGCTACCCGTGATAATGATATCATCAACGTACACAAGAACATAGACAATAACAATATCACGGGTAAGAATGAACAATGAGGTATCAGAGAGGGAGTTAACAAACTCACACTCAAGGAGAAATCGACCAAGTTCATTGTACCACGCTCGGAGAGCTTGCTTGAGGCCGTAAAGAGCTTTATGGAGTTTGCATACAAAGGATGGTTGATCTTTGTCGATGAAGCCCGACAGTTGAGTCATGTATACAGCATCGCCAAGAGTGCCTTGAAGAAATGCATTATTAACATCAAGTTGGCGAAGAACCCAACATTTGGAAACCGCAATGCTCAAGACAACACAGATTGTGGTGTGTTTGATGACAGGACTGAATATGTCTGTGTAATCAATCTCAGGCCGTTGGCAAAACCCCTTGGCCACAAGACGAGCTTTGTACCTGTCAATAGAGCCATCAGAGTGTCGCTTAGTACGGAAAACCCACTTGTAACCAACCACGTTATAAGACGGTCGAGACGAAACAAGAGTCCAAGTGCCATTGCGAAGCAAGACATTGAACTCCTCGGCCATAGCATCACGCCACCTTAGATCCTTAAGAGCTTGCGAAACACACGTAGGTTCCACGTCATGGTTTGGGTGAAGGGCGGAGGTAAGACTAAGCTTGGGTTGAAGTTTAAAGACGTTGTTTTTGGAGCGAGTAACCATTGGGTGAGTGTTTTGTGGAGGAACAAGAGGTGGTGGTGGGTCGGTGAGTATATGAACGGGTGAGTCAGTGAGCAAAGTTTGGGGTGGTGGTTCGGTAAGCATGCGATCGGGAGTGCCATGAGGCATCAAGTGCGGAGAAGGTTGTGGTGGTAGCAGAGGCGACAAAGAGCAGATGAGAGGCATTGAGGAGTTCCTTGCGGGTGACGGAACAACACGGGAGACAAGCTCAGGCGATGACAGTGTGTAAGAGTGATCAGACCTACATGGAACAAGGGAAGACCGAGAGACAGACGGGAATGGAGAAGAGTCAACCCGAGAGTGAGAGGTTGAAAGAAGCCTAGAGTAAAGAAATTCCTACTCAACAAACTCAACATGACGAGAGACATATAAACGAGAAGTGGCAACTAGGGGTGGGCACGGGCGGGTATCCGGACTTTTCAGGATGTCTTTATCTCGATCTTAGTCTCGTCGGGTTTTTGTTTGGAATGTCTCGATCTCTATCTCGCGACGCCCGGGTACCCGAATCTCGGATACCCGAGACACGAGTTCGGGTACCCGCGAGACCCGAACCCTAACTCGTGCAAAATTAAAAAAAAAATCTGAACAAATTTACAAAATTAATACACCAATAACATAAAATTCAACATCTAAATATATCCAAAATACCTCATAATAATTATAAGTTGAATAAAATCCAAAATACATCATGATTCATAAGTTCAACAACATAAAAAAAAAACATAAATTTCACAAGTTCCACACCGTCCAAAACATATCCAAAATCCATCATGATTCTTGAACACATATGAAGAACATACCTACACAAACACAAAAAATACATATGTAAGTTAGAATGAAAAAACATGTTAGAACCAAAAATCAATAACAAAAAATATTGAAACACCTCACCAACATCGTCGAATATAGAGGAACAGAGAGGAAGAACATTTACCTCGAGGACAGCAGGGCAGAGAACAAATCGAGGCAGAGTATATGGCAGAGACTGAGAGCTCAGCCGAGAGAGAGAGAGACCGAGACCGAGTGCAAGGCAGATGCCGAACTGAGAGAGAGAGAACGCCGCTACAGTCATCAGAGACTAGAGAGAGAGGGCTAAAAAAAAGACCGAGAGCACGGCGGAGAGAGAGAGGCTCGCGACGAGGGAGAAGATAGAAGCGTATAAGGCGAGGGAGAAGCTCTTACCGAGAGAGAGACGGAGGCGGATGAACCCGAGACCGAGAGCACGCGAACTGTCGACACCGAGAGCACGCCGAGAGAGAGGCTCGCGACGGCGAGAGTCGAGAGGAGAGAGACCGAGCGTGAGAGAGACCGAGCGGCGACTGCGAGCGTGAGAGTCTGAGTGAGAGAGATGAGAGAAGAGTAATTAGGGTTAGGGTTGTTTAGGAATAGGTAGTTTTGTAAATATGTTAAACATAAGGGGTATTTTTGTAATTTTTTATATTTTCGGGTACCCGTGAGATAACCCGTGTAGAAATATCAAAACCCGAACCCGAAACCCGAAACTCGGGTTTCATGAGATAAAAACCCGGCTTGTATCTCGTTATCTCATAAAACCATATAAACCGGGTACCCGCGAGATAGGGTACCCGGAAACCCGCGGGTCTCGGGTAAAAATGCCCACCCCTAGTGGCAACATGCAAACAAAGGAAAGCACTTTGGGTGAGAGAGTAACCCACAAAAACACAATGGGCTGATCGAGGTTGTAGTTTATGACTAGAATAAGGACGAAGCCACGGGTAGCAAAGACAACCAAAGGTACGCAGTTTAATATAGTTTGGAGATGACTGAAAGAGAACCTCGAAAGGGGAACGACCGTGAAGGACCGAAGTGGGGAGATGATTGATCAAATAGACTGCCGTCGGAAAAGCAAAGTTCCAAAGGTCCAAAGGGATGAAGGCCCGAGATAAAAATGTAAGTCCGGTTTTAACAACATGACGATGTTTACGTTCTGAAATACTATTATGCTCTCGGGTGTGTGGGGAGGAGAAGTAAGATGCGAAATATCATGACACGAAAGAAAGTCTCTAAGGGCAATATATTCCTCACCATTATCCGAATAAAGAGTGACAATTTTGGTTTGAAAGCAATTTTCAACAAGAGATTTGAACTTTGAAAAAATAGTCGAAACATGAGATTTGTGATGCATAGGGTAGAACCATGTATATCGCGTAAAATGATCAACAAAAATAACGTAATACTTGAAACCATCAAAAGAGGTGATGGGGGAAGTCCATACGTCCGAGTACAAAAGTTCAGGACGTCGAGATGAGGTAAGCGTGGAAGTAGAAAAAGGATGTTTATGACTTTTAATAATAAGACAAGAATCACAAGACAATGGATGACTCGACACAGATGACAACGGAAGAGAAAAACGTGAAATAATAGAGTTTAAAACGTCTTGAGATGGATGGCCTAATCTAGAGTGACATTCGGAGAGGGAGGTCTTGACACTCGAAAGAGCAAGAGCCGAGGGTTTACTGGAGGACACAGAGGAGGAATGGATAGTCGGCCATTCATACACATCGCCATTAAGGGGCCCGGTTAGTAGCGGTGCCCCCGTGTTGAGATCTTTCACCTGAAAGAAACGAGAAAAAAATTCCACTGAAACATTGTTAGAATAACAAAGCTGATGAATGAAGATGAGGTTCTTATGCATGGTAGGAACACAAAGGACATTTTGAAGATTAAGATGACGAGAGTTAGAGGGAAGAGACGAGGAACCAGTGTGTGCTATGGCAAGCCCAGAGCCATTGCCAATGATGACTTCATCTCCGCCTTGGTAGGGTGAATGGAGAGATAAATTAGTAAGGTCAATAGTGACATGGTGTGAGGCTCCCGAGTCGAGCAACCAAGATAATGGTTGAGAGGGAGAGACAGTTGCGGTCTGAGCCAATGGTTTCCAAGGACCAGTTGTATGAGGTGGACTGGAGTCGGCAGGAGAGCGGGCAACCGAAGGAGGAAGCATGCGGCATGTTCGGGCACTATGCCCTTCAACACCGCAGAGTTGGCATTTTCTGAGGTATCCTCGAGATTGTGTACGTCATGGTTGAGATCGGGATTAAGTTGAACGAGGACCCTGAGCAAGAGAAGGTCGGGTCGAAGGCTGGGGACCAAAACCAGTAGGAGTGCGCCAATGAGATCGAGAGGTATGTTGTGCCGCATAAGCCGAAATAGGAGAATCTGAGAGATGCATGACAGCAAAGTCGACATCAAGACTCAACAGTTTCTCATGTGACTCGACAAATGAGATCGGAGTGTCTCGAGCATGTACGACGTCGTTGATAGACTTGTACTCATCACCGAGGCCGGCGAGAATTAGATCAATGAGATCCTCATGATCCATAGGTTTGCCGAGAAGTGCAAGCTTGTCCGCTTTAATCTTGAAGAAGTTCATATATTCGTTGACGGTTTTGGTGCCTTTTGTATGACGCTGCATCTGGTCTTTGAGTTGTTTGATGTGGCCACGGCTAGATCGGCCATAAGTTTGGGTTAGAGTAGCCCATGCATCTGCGGCAGAGGTGGTCGACACTACGAGAGCTTGACATGGACTCGAGATCGAACCGAGAAGAGCCGAGAAAACAAGACGGTCGTGACGAAACCACGATTTATAGGTCGGGTTAGGAGATAGTACATTGTTGGTGATGATAGTGGTAACCGACACTTTGGCCGCATCGAGGAAGTCTTCGAGGTTGTATCCTTGGAGTAATGCACGAAGTTGAATGCTCCATGTCAAGTAGTTCAGGGCCGTGAGTTTCGAATCATTCGAAACATTGACGTTAATCAACGTCGAGCTCGGATTGTCGGAGTCAAAGACCGTGATCGTGTCGCTTGGGAGACCGGCAGAGCTAGAAGGAGAGTCGGAAGAGACTATAGTGTGAAGAGAAGATCGGCGACGTGAGTAATAACCGAAGGAGAAAAAAAAGTTTTGAAGGAGAAAAAAAATTGTCTTTCGACTTAAGCTATTGATATCATGATAGAATTTGATTTATGAAAATGTGATTGAATGAATTTATGATGAGGATTACATCTCATATATATATTGTATAAAAGACATAATGACATAAAACATGGAAGAAAACATGGAGAAGACATGGAGGAAAACATGGAAGAAATTAAGTATAATTAGATGCATAATTTTAGAAAAGTAATTGTAATAAATAATAATAATAATATATCATTATAGGGCAAAAAGGGCAAAAGGGGAAAAAGTTTGCATGAGAAGAGATGGAAGGGAGAGAACGACGCATGGCATGAGGAAGCAACCACTTGTTACCAAATGTAATGCTTCCTCTCACCTCTTTTCCCCTCGAAACCCCAAAAGCCTCTTTATTCCTCTCTCTCTATCTCATTCTTCTTCAGTTATATTCTTTTCTTCTGCGTCTTCTTCTTCAATTTCTGGAGAGAGAGAGAGAGAGATGGGAGATGAAGAAGAAGGGAGGTGGGGAAAGGGGTACTATGCATATGCATATTCGACTAAAGTAATGATCATAATAATGGTTCCTCTCCTCTTCATCTCTGGTCTGGTTTGTGTGTTTGGCCCTCAAAACACAACTACTTCTGTCTTAACCTCTCCCTCTATTCCCCCTTCCTCCTCTTTCTCTGTTCCTGTCGAATTTGTTCAGGTTTTACCCTTTTCCCCTCTTCCATTAATTTCTCCTTTGCATGCATGTCCCTTTGTTTATGTGTTGCATGTAATCATATATACGTATATACCTGTACATAGATATATGTAATGGGGATGAGATCATTGAACAGGAAGATGGTGAGAGGATGCAGTTGATGAACTCTACCATCAGCAATTCTTCAACGGTTGAAGATGGCGCCGAGTCGGTGTTGCCACCATTAACAGTAAAGAAAAGAATACTAAGCAACATGGAGAAGATTGAAGCGGAACTGCAAAGGGCTCGAGCCGCCATTAAAGGAGCTTCTTTCGAAGACGATATGGACGACCCCGACTACGTCCCCCTTGGTCCCATGTATTGGAATGCCAAGGTCTTCCATCGGTACGTTAACTCATCAATATCATCTATGAATACCGAATGATATATCATATAAGGAATTTAGCTTAAAGAATATATCGTCCAAATAATTTTATGAAGCTTAGCTTGATTAGTGCATGATTATCTTACTCTATATGTCCCGTATGGTGCAGGTATATCAATATTATTTTCTTTCTTTGTATATTTTCCATGTTTATTTTGAATTGAAACGCAATATAGGAGCTACTTGGAAATGGAGAAACAGTTCAAGATATTTGTGTACAAAGAAGGTGAACCACCTTTGTTCCATGACGGTCCATGCAAAAGTATATATTCCATGGAAGGAAACTTCATTTATCAGATGGAGACCGATACCCGTTTCCGCACCACCGATCCCGATAGAGCCCACGCCTTCTATTTGCCGCTCAGCGTCGTCAAGATGGTCCGATACGTCTATGAACGGGATTCCCACGATTTCAGCCCGATAAGGAAGACCGTTAGAGATTACATCGATCTCGTTGACGGGAAATACCCGTATTGGAACCGCAGCATCGGGGCCGACCATTTCATCCTCTCGTGCCACGATTGGGTAAATAAATCGCCATTTCCATTTCGCGTTTTGTTACAAACATTCCTCGGTGTAACAAAAGTGTCGAAATTTCGTTCTTTGGTTACAATGTATAGGGACCGGAGGCGAGCTTCTCTCATCCTCAACTAGGCGAAAACTCGATACGGGCACTCTGCAATGCCAACACGTCCGAGAGATTCAAACCGAGAAAAGACGTATCTATACCAGAAATCAACCTCAGAACCGGAACCTTAACCGGACTGGTCGGCGGCCCGTCTCCATCTCGCCGTCCGATCCTCGCCTTCTTCGCAGGTGGGGTTCACGGGCCGGTCAGACCGATCCTCCTGAAACATTGGGAGAACAGAGACGAAGACGTAAGAGTGCACAAGTACTTGCCAAAGGGTACTTCGTATTCGGACATGATGAGGAACAGCAAGTTCTGCATCTGTCCGAGCGGATACGAGGTGGCGAGTCCAAGAATCGTGGAGGCGCTGTACTCGGGGTGCGTTCCTGTCCTGATAAACGAAGGGTATGTTCCTCCGTTCAGCGACGTGTTGAACTGGAGATCGTTCTCAGTGGTCGTGCCGGTGGAGGAGATACCGAATCTGAAGAAGATTCTGATGGGGATCTCGCCCAGACAGTACATCAGAATGTACAGAAGGGTTCTGAAGGTTCAGAGACATTTCCAAGTGAATTCTCCGCCCAAGAGATTCGATGTCTTTCACATGATTCTTCATTCGATTTGGGTCCGGAGATTGAATGTCAGAATCCGAGAGATTTGATGTTTTGGGTTTTTCCTTGGAATAAAATTGATGTGTGTTTGTTGACATGTAGATCGTTGGCCTTTTGTGGTTTTGTTGCAATAAGAGGGTTTTACCGTAACTTCCGAGGTAAATTTGGTGGGAGATAAATCAATTTAACTATTAGGTTAGGTTACTAATTAAGTAAATGGGCTAAACAAAGATTTTACTCTGGGCGTGGCAGTTCTGTAATTTCATGATAATTGTAAGGGTTTTAGCGTAATTGATTTACGATAAATTTAACGCGGACGGTACAATCCAAATAACCGGCAGATCTATCTACGTCAATTAACCGGTATAAGCACCGGTTATTGTTGCATGGCTCTAATAACTAATGCGATTAAAGAATATTATGTCCACTTGGAATTAATGTCGAATCAAATTGAGTTATTTTTAATGGGTTTTAACGGTATTCGACCACCCTTTTTTTGGTATTGAGAATAAAATAAAATTATTTCGAAGCGGATAAAAGAGAGAGAGCTCCACTGTTTTCCCAAAACCAGCAACTGGGTTTTGCCGCTTCAACACAGAGACCTTTGATTTTTATAGAATATTTTAATTTATAAAGGGAAATTCAAAACCATGGGCAGTTTCGCAGTCGTTCTTCTCCTCTCGCAAAACCAGCTGCTCTGTTTCTCTGTATATTACTCTCTCCCTCTTCCTCCCTCTCTCCTCTTTCTATCTCCAATTCAGACGCGGCAAGGGAATAAATTCGTTGTTTTTAGGGCGGGAGTTCTTCGCATCGCAGGAACGAGGAGTTTCGATTTCGTTGTTGTTTTTCCTGGGAGTCGATTTCTGTTTCGGTTTGCTTGGTCGTTTCTCATAAAGCTTGGATCTTTCCTCGTTGATTCTGATGTCGAAATTGTGGGTAATGGGAAATGGGATTCCTTAGGATCTGGGTTTTTGGGTAATCGTATGAATTTGTTCGAATTTTCGATTTTTGTTTTTCTTTTTGGGATTTAGGGGTTGATGGAATCAAATGGTCTGTCGAGTGTGATGTTCTCTGGTTTCAGTCCGGGAATGTTAAGCTTGGAGATGCCACAAAACCCACAAAATCCACAGAACCCGATTCAATTCCAACATCCCCAGATGGTTTCTTACGCCGGAAACAATGGCGGCGGCGGCGATCAGCAACACCATAACCACCACCAGACGCAGCCGCCCATGAAAACGCCACAGGACCCTTACGCCTCCAAACC